GGAAGGAGGGAGAAAGGGCCGAATACATTATATCTAAAATTTTTGTATGATACTGTAAAAGTACAGTTAGTACTGTAGTTTTCTGCTTTTTTTAACCCTTTACGGACAGTTGGCTTTATTTGACACCCTCCCCCCCTTCTATTAGTCCATTAATCGAGGTTTTATTGAAATAAAAATCCTTAAAATGTTACGGGCCCACTGAAAGTTAGACAAAATATGCAGCTTCGTCCTTTTTCACTTTTGGGTTTGTGTTCCCTGTATATTGATCAGTGTATTTTTTACTACCTCATATTATCAAGGTTTTTTTTTTTTTTTCCCAGACCCCGAAGCTTAAATTGGAAGAGGCAAAAAATGAGAAGTCTTTGTCTTATCCCTAAACCAGAAGTGAAAGCCCCCCAAATTTGGAAAGGAATGTCCCCTCATGAATAAAATGGAGGATTGGGAAAAAGTCCGCAAACCCCCATGAGCAATTTAAAGTTTTTTGACTGAAATTGCACCCTATGGGGGAAAATCATGCCCAAGAAAAAAAGTGTTGTTTAAAAAGTTTTAATGATCAAAAATTTTCAGTGTTCCTCAATGTGGATTCTCTACTGATTCCATTTCCCACAGCTAAAACCCCATCCCAAATTTTTTCAAACCCCAGCAGTGATGTTTTACATCAAGTAAAAACATCGTTTTACATCCCCCCCCCCACACACCCTTAAAACACTACAAAAAATTATACCTTCCCCCAAAGCCCCCCCTGGTGCCCTTGAACCGGAACCGGGTAACCCTTCTTCGGTGGATGAAATCGGGCATTTAATGGGTTCATGGGAAAGGGGATCCAGAAAGGACAAATATTAGGTTTACTAAGTAAAAAAGAAATGTAAAAAAAGACATGTTTTGTGCATATTCTTAATCTCAAAGAAGAAATAAATTGGGAACTTTTATAATCATTTTTTTAAAAAATTTAAAAATTTTAATAAAAAAATTTTTTTTTTCCCCTTTAAAATGAAGATTTCTGGAACTTTTTCCCAAGGGAAAGGGTATTTTTTTTGGAAACCCCTTTCGATTTTGCCCTTGACAAAAGTGGGCATCCGCTTGGGTACAGAAGGGCGGCGAGTGTTGACATAATTTTTTGTTCGGGAAAAGGCCCTAAAGCATGGCTGCTGGGGTACAAAAAACATTCCCTTGGAGGGGGGGAAGCTGCATCGGGAAAGGGAAAGCTGTCACGCCTAAAGGGTTTGGTCTGAAACTGGGTTTTGGGGCTTGCACCCCAGCAGCAAACTTGGATAATGCCTTTAAGTGAGTTAAATTTTTTTATTTTTTTTTTTTTTTTTTTATTTTTTTTTTTTTTTATAATTTAGCGGCACTGGTTTTCCAGGCAAAAGGGAAATTTTATGCCTTTCTTTACATCCACATGGGGGACCCTCAAAACTTTTTGCCCTTTAAGGCAGCATGCGAAAAACCCGAAAAGTGTCACTTTATTTTTTTGAATAGTTTTAAAAAAAAGGGTGGGTTGGAAAAGTACCCAAAACCTGTAGGGAAAGGAAAAAAAATTTAAAAAAATTTACCCCTTTATGATTAATAAAAATTACTGCAGATTGATCATCCAAAACTGAAGTAAGAGGGTTTCAATAAAGAGGCAGCTTTTTTACTGAAACAATTTGATTTTTAAAAAAAAAGAAATCACTTACAAATTTTTTGTGGGAAAAGGGTTTTTTAATTTAGGGGTATGATCTTTCTAAAAAATTTTGGGAGTTTTGGGATAAGGAATCCCAAAGATGGATTTTTTGCAGGTAATTTGCAGTACTGTTCGGGGGTTGTCCTTTGTAAATTTTTTTATTTTTCTTACTCTTGGTTACTTGAATTTAACATATATTTTTGTGTAAAGCATTTTTAAATTTTTTAAAGGATGAAAAAATCAAATACCGAAGCAGCATTTTTTTTAAAACATAAGAAAGCAGGAACACTGTAGCAGGCCTTTTGGGCCCCAAAACCCTGGGCCCAGGTCCTTTAAAACCCTTTCAAAATTAACAAAATTTTCCCCAACCCCAATTTCAGTGCCCCCAAAAAATAAGTTTTGATGATTTTTTTTTCCCTCATTATGAAAAAGGCCCCACTCAAATCCAACCCCTCTAATCATGTTTTTTTTTTTTTTTTTTTTTTTTTTTTAAAAAGGGTCGGCCGTCTTCCCCGAGGCAGGGGACCCAAACAGAAAGAAAAACCCCCAAAAAAAAATTTACTTTCATCATTCAACATTTTCCCCTCACTACACATTATTCTTTTTTTTGCAGAGTTGCTCAAAATGCAACAATTTAAAAGCATATATGTATAAAAAATAAAAAAAACAACATATCCCTCCAAACTGCCAAAAAATTCCCAAAATCCCTCCTTTAAATGGGCATTGTATTTCCCCATTTTCCAGGACTCAAGTCCGGCTTTTTAAAAAAATAACCGGTTTCCTGAACCCTTCACAAAATATTACCCTGCTCACACTCCAAAGCTCGTCAAGTCCTAAAAAACCATTCGTCTCCATTCACTCCTATCTAAAAAAGCTCACACACGCTTGCTGGAAGTCCAAGCCCCTCGCCCACAAAACCCCCCTTTTATCTCCTCCCCCCAAACCTTTTGAGGACGCCCCCTACCCCCCCTTCCTTCTCCTTCGATTTTATGCTCTCCATGTCTTTTTTTCTTTGACCCATTCTCCCTAAGTAAAAAACCCCCTCAAACCCCCTCTTCAGCCCTCTGACTAATACTCTTTTTAAACTCACACCTCCTAATTTCCAAAATTTTTCTGCAAAATGCATTTTTTTACACCAAACTTTTCCCCTTTAAGACAGGACATCTCCCCTGCCCCAAACCGCCTCCCGCTGCAGCATTTAAAAACCCAAGCTTCACCCCCATAAAAAGAGTTTGGGTTTATATATATTTCTTTTCTTTCCCCTTCTTTGCCTCCATAGATAATTTTTTTTTGTCTCCCCCCATATCCCTCAACGCCCCCACTCGCATTTTTTCCTACATAATTCTGGGGATTAACCTCATCCTTCTTTAAACCCAAACCGCTGACACGTCAACTCCAAATATCTGAAAACATTTTCTTCTTTCAATACCCCTCCTCCCCAATTTGATACCCAAATTTTTTTTTTATCAAAAAAATTTGATATTCTCATGCCCTTTACTCTTTTCTGTTTCACTTTCAACTTTCTGCCTTTACACACCCTAAAAAACCCCAACCCACAAAACCTTTGCAATTTTTCTTTAAAATCTCCATAACCCACAGTATCATCAGCAAAAAGAAACTTTTGTCAACCCCCATTTTGTATTTGTTTCCCTTCCATAATTTAATCCCCCCCTCTCCCGAAACCCAAACCCTTTACTTTTTTTAAAACCCCATCTATAAATATATTAAATAACCATGGGGCATTAAACAACCCCGTTTTAAGACCTAACCCTTTTTCCGGGAAATAGTTCCCCCCTCTCTTCTACACACCCTAACCGACCTCATCAACCAGGCGTTTTCTGCTGGCTGCCGGGAATCCCAAAGTACGGCCACAGCACGGCTTTTCAAAGGGACCGACTTTAGGTGTTTGTCCCTGGCCCGCTTGAAGGGCAGCAGGGGGGGTTTTTGGGAAACCCCCTTATGTTTTGCTGGGAAACAGTTGAACAGTTCCCCCGGGCCCCCGAAAACTTATTGTATTGTCTCTTAACGTGCCCAGGACACCCCCGTTTTTCATTGGGGGGGTGTTGCTCATCTGCCAAGTCTTTTGGGTTTCCCTTTTGAGTGATTTTTCCCTGTGCAAGTTTGGGACTAGTCTGTCTAGGATTTTTTAGATGTTTTATATTCATGTATCTCTTTCCCCCTGCATTCCAGGGGGTACAGGTTCAGGAACTTCAAGCCTTTCCCAGTAATTGAGGTGTTTTAAACTTTCCCTTTTTGCCCCGGGCCCTTTAAGGTTCTCTGTACATTTTTTGGTCAGCAATTTCACCTGGGCCCTTTAAAGGTACTGTTTGTTGCAGCAAATTCCAAACCCAGATAAAAAAAGCGACCCGAAGAGTGTTTAAAAAATAGGGTTGGCATCCCCAGTTTTGAAGGTTTTTCTTTTCCATCCTATTTTTCTACAGATGTGAAATTTAACAAGTTATGATCCTTAAAGGGGAGATCCTCTGACCGATCACTCCCAAAGGGCTTTGACATTTGGTTTTTCGGGTCTATTTTGTGGCCGGGAAATTTTTTGTACTCTGAATTTTTCATCCCTTAAAAATTCATAATTTTTCTGCGCCCATTTAAAGATTTGGTTGATGGTCCGCCGGAGCCCCTTCAGTGTCTGCAATGGAAACCCCTGTAATGCAAAATTCGGGGGTGTCATCGCAAAGGGAAAACCCCGGTGCTGTGGCTGACATTCTTGTTATGTCAATATGAGGATGGAAGCAAGATGGGAAAAGAGTACTGTGGGCCCTTTTGGAACAGGCTTTTCACCGTACCGCCTCAGACTTTTTCTCCCGTTGATACTACTCTTTGTGTTTTTGGTTTTGTGGGGGGGAAAAATTTTAGGAAACCATTACCAACTTTTTCCTGTTAATTTCCCTTTTGCACGCAATTTGTGCGCATTAGCCCCTGGGTCACACTTTTTTGAAGGCTTTTGCAAAGTCTGTATATATTACATCTGCATTCTTTTGTCTTTAGTGCTCTAGGGCCCTTTTCGGTTTGTGATCCAGTAGTTGGGGCAGGGCAGGAGAAATGCTTATACCCCCTTTGCCCCGGGGTTTTGTAATTGATGAGTATCTAGAGGGGGGGGTGATCTTGTTTCCCTTTGGACCCTTTTAAAAATTTTTATGATTGGGATGTTAGTGCTTTTCGGGCTGTAGTTTTTGCTATTGCTTTTTTTTTCCCCCCTTTTTGGAATGGGGCTATGTCTGTTGTTTTTAGTAAAATGTGGGTTGGGCCCCCCTGTCCCTGCTCCTCTCCATTGGATGGTAAAAAAACGTGATAGGGGCTTTTTGATTTCTTTTTTGGAAAAATGGAGTTCCTGAGGGCTGGCCCTGGGGCAGAGTGCATGGGCATGTCATTTATTGGCCCCGTTTTAATCATTTGGCTCCAGGGTTTAAAATCAGATTGGGTTGGTTTTCCAAAATTTTTGTGGGGTTTTCATAAAAAATTAATTTTTTATTTTGACTTCCCGTCTGGTTTGCGGCTTGCTAAAAACAGTTTATATTGGGACTTTCCTTGCTGTTTATTGGGGTAGGAAACCCCTCTTGTTTTTTAAATAGGGGCCCCTTTCTGGTTTTTTTCTCCGGGCTTTGATTTTGGGTTAAGAAAAAAAAATACTTTGGGTTTTTTTTCCCATTTCATTTATGGCTTTTTAGTTTTTTTCCCGCGATTCCTGGGCTCTAAAAGATTCCTTTAGCTTTCGTACAATGTTTGCTATTTTTTCTGACCGTGTCTCCCTACGCATTTTAGATATATTGGGTCCCTTTTTCCCCCTCGTTATTCTTTTTCCGTCGCCTTTGAAGGGACGCCTGTCTCTTTTTTTTTTACTTTTAACCCCCTCCTTTTCTTAAAAGGAAAAAAAGCCTTTTAACATACATCAGTGCCACCCAGTTAATTTTGTTCCCAGACATTAAATTGGGGGGCTGTGTTGCTTAGGCTATCTGCCCGCCTATAGGGTTTTGGATTTGGGTTTTCTTGGGCCCCCTTTATGTTCTTTTTATTTAGGGTTTATGAATTTTTGGTGAAGGCTCCCTCGTGGGCTAAACTCATTTTGTCGGTTGGGGCTCCCCGCTTTCATGTCGGGAAAAACAATTATGTTGTGATCTAGCATATTTTTTTTGATATGGTGACATTTTGTACAGATCAACTTGTTAGGGGAAGATGAGGTTCCCTTTGTGTATTCTCCAGTCTAGGGAGGGTCTATTATTTGCTGGGTTTTAAATTGAAATTTTTTCAGACAAATTTTAAAAGCTCGTGTTTTGTTGGTTCTTGTCAAGGCTTTCCCCCTGGTGGGGTTTTTCACTCAAAATTATTTTTCTATAAATTCCCCATTTTTGGTGCCCCGAGTTGAAAACCCCCAGGGGGCAAGATGTTTGGGGGGAGGAGCGGAAGATTTTCCCGGGCAAGGGGCAATTTTTTTTAAAAGCTGTTCCTGGAATTGCTTGGGACGGGTTTCATCCGGAGGCTTGTTTGACTACCACAATGGGTAGGGTTTTTGGGTTTTAATCTTTTCTGATAAAATTTTTCCCCTACATCATTTTAGGCATTTAACATTCTGTGAAAAAAAGGACTCTGCAGTATACAGGCCAACCCTTCCCCATTGCCCGTTCACCTTTTGTTGCATCTGTATAGGGTTTTAACCTGGGATAAAAATTTCGTTGTCCGTGATTTTACCCCTTTATGTGGGTCTCTTTTTGAAAAACATTTTTCATTGCAAAAGCCCACGGATGGGAAAAGGGATTTTGTTGTTCGTTTTCTGGCTTTTGGGCCCTGTATTTTTTCAAAAAAGAAAAGTCATGGGACTGGGTGGGGACTGGGGGGGGGGGGAACTCTTTTTTCCGGCACGGGTTACTGACAAGTAAATATAATTTTGAAAAACGTATTTTTAAAAACCCTGTTGGGTTGTGATACCACTGGGAGCAACAGCCTGGGTTGATTTGGCAAGCAACCCAAAAAAGCTTTTCCCCGGGCCCGCCCTTTTAGATTTGAAAAATTTTTGAAAACCCCTTTAAAAGGAAATTTAAAGATATTTTTTTTTTTTTTAACAAACCCGCCAAGGCAGGGGGCCCAAAAAGAAAAGCGAAAATTTCTCTCTTTAATTTAGTTTTTTGTACAGGAGGAGGGGTTGCTAGCCCCCTTTCTCCCCGGGTTTTAGTCGCCCCCTTAAAAAAACGCATGGCTTACGGGGGGAAGAAATTCCGGGTTTTCCCCTTTTTCCCCTGGAGATAAAGGGGAAAAAAACAAAGAAAAAGAACTAAAAAAAAAAAAAGAAGAAAACCCCCGAAGGGTGGTATATAAATATATGCTTGTACATGTTTTGGGTAGTGGGGACCTAAGGTAAGTAGAGGAGCAAGACGTACCCGAAATCTTGCAATTGGGTTTATGAGACAGAAAAAAAAGGGAAAACCCGAAATCCTTCCACTTTTAAACAATTCCGGTTTTCGTTTTTCACTCAAATTGGGAGGGCGGTTACCTCCCTGGGCCCTTTTCGGGCTACAACCCCACTACTAGAAAAAATTTAAAAATATGTATGGGATATTTAATAAAAAGGTTTGACTGCAAACACTCACGAAGGGGTTTCTTCCCCCCTGCCAAATGAGTGTGGGAACGAAACTTTTAATTATTGTAACATTTGGGGGATTTTTGGGGTTTTTTTTTCCCCTTTTCTCATAAACCCCATGATATAAGAGATAATTTTGTTTCCTATTTACACCCTTTGGGAAACTACACTTTCATGTAATAGATATGTATACACACCCCCCTCTGAGTTTTTTCCATTTTTTTTAAGTACGGGAACCTGGTTTTAGGCCCGTTCGGTTATCATGAAATTCAGCTTTCGACCCCTTTTTTTCGGGGAAATTTTCCCCGTTTTTTAAAAACATCGGGTCGGGGGAAATCCCCCCATACGAGATGGCCCTTGCATGCCTGCAGGTTGCCCGCCGTTCATATGTTCTGACTCGGTTTTGCCTTTGTTTCTATTCAATGAGCATTACTCCCAAACGTTCATCCGAAACATTTCTAAATAGTCCATTGTTTTTTGTGTTGTGACTGCTAAATAAGGACCATGGGGCCAAAGAAAGTCTTGAGTGCCAGTCCTTTGGTTAAAGAAGGTGAGAAACATTTAAAAGAATTTAAAAAAAGGCTCGTAGAAAAATGCAAAAAAATGGCGTACTTGTGATGTTAGATGTTCATTTATCCATTTTTGGTTTTGTTTTTATATTTTTTGTTGTTTTTTGGGATTAAAAAAATATTGTTAATTTTTATAAAATGTATTTTTTTTTTAAAATTTTTGGGTGTCCCCGGAACGGCAAAATTGGAAATTTCGTTTATTTTTGTATGGGAAATATTTTAGTTTTTTTACCCGATTGGTTTTCGGCCCCAACCCCTGAACAGATTAAAGGGCGAAAGCTGGGGGGTTTCCCCGTAGTTTTTTTCTCTTATTTTCCTTTCATCTTCATGGGAAAATGGAAAACAATTCTTCCTCCATAAACTATGCAAGTATAAAAGGGGATTAAAATTTTGGGAGCAAGGGGGTAGTAAAAAACCCCCCCGTAAAAAAATTATTTAAAAATAGGAAAATATTTTGGGATGTCTTGGCAAGACATGATAATGTGAAAAAATGGGGGAAATTTTTTTTTTCCCACCTTTTCCGGGGGGAGGGCGGTTTGGTTTGTTAAAAAAAAAAATTTTTTTATGGTTTCCAAAAACATGGGTAAGTAGTTTTTTTATAAATGTTTATAAACTTCCCCCTTTAAAATTTATAACTAAAAAATTTTTTTCAGCTTCCTACAAAAGTTAACGCCAATTTGGTTTTGGAAAACAAGATTGAAATCCAAAGAGAAAAGTCAATGGTAAAAATGGGGGGGGAAAATTTTCCGTGCTCCCCCTAGTCGTCCCGGGTTTAAAAACAGTAAATTTTGTGTTTATACCACTTGATATTTAAAAGAGGTTTGAAGGGAGTGCAGAACAAAAAGGTGTTTGATTAGTAAAAATTTTTATCATTTTTCTTTCTGAGAGCAGGTTTTCTATAAAAATGGGTGAACCCCGGTCTGTCCGTCCTTTTTCTTTTGGGTTTTGGGTATCAACAATTGTAACCCTTGTTGTTTAAAATTTTCAAAAACAACACTTACCAAAAATTTGGGGAAATTTTTAAATTTTTGGTGGGTTTAAAGTCAAAGATGGGAAAAGTCTGAGTCCTTAGCAACAAAAAAGATATTGTTTCAAGATAGCTTTGTTTTCAGGAATGGTTTTTGTTAAAAATCGAAAGTGAAACAAAAGGTCTGAAACTTTGGTTTTTTTGTGGAAAATTGCATGGGAAAAATGTATGGGAAAGGTAATTGATAATGAAAAAAATACAGGGAGTAGACATATGAAAAAAATGTTTTTTAAAACTTTTTATTTCACCACAAGTTATTTTCCCCGGACAATGCAGTGCGAAAGCTGGTAGGGGGGAAATTGGCGAAAGGGTGGTGAACGTCTGAGGGAAAAAGGGGAAGCGGCTTTATGATTTGCTAATGTATTAACATCCTTGGGGGTTTGTGAAGAGAGTTCCCACAGCCCCAAAGGGTTTTTTAGTATGTTGGGGGTTTTAACAGCTGCAGCCCAGTGAGGGATGGGAAGTAATTACTATTTGTTTTGGGGGGGTTGTGAGAGTTCCAACCTTTGATCCTCAAATCATTTAAATTTTTTAGTAAAGAAGCCCCTTCAGGGTTTGCCGGAATGTAACCCTGTTTTACAGTTTATAGCTTTTAGTGTGTAGGTGTGGGGGTGGGTTTAGTGTGTGGGGAGTGTGGGGTGTGGGTCTCCCCCTAAATTATACTTTCGTAGTTTTGGTTTCAGGGGGGTAAGTCACCCCCCCTGGCTCTGCCTTTTCATGATCACCCACTAGGTCACTCTTCCTGCTCCGTGAGGTTTATCATACATTTTTTAAAGTTATGTATGGTCCCCCGCCTCCATTGTATCACTTCCCGACTATTCCCCCTTCCTACCAACTGTGACTGAAGAAATAAATTCCCAGCATCTCTGTGATTATCTTAAGTCTTAACTTTCCCAATTTTGACCCCTTGTTGCTGTGGGCCCCTCTCTGGGAAAATTCTTTTCTCTTCTGCCTTTAATCAGTTCCCCTCAGAATTTTTTTATGTTGTTATCATTTTTTCCCCTTTTCCCCCTCCATGTCCTCCAGTATCATTAGGTTTATTTCCCCTTTAACTTCTAGGGACATTCCCCTTAGCTCCAAAGGGCTAGTCTGTTGCAAACTTTTGCACTTTCTCTAATTTCCTTAATATGGATAGGTTGGGGGGTTCCAAACTGTGCGCCCCACTCCCTATAAGGGCCCGACAACCTGTTACAGGGGGCCTGAAAAATTCCTTATGGAGGTGTTGGAATGCAATTTTTGGGTTTGGTAGGTGC